AGATTTGAACTCAGATCCTCCTAGCTACAGGGCCAGTGCTCTATCCACTGAGCCACCTAGTTGCCTACATACATCATGGATTCTTGAAGTTTTATTTACCTTTTTCTTTAAAGCCATCTGATGGATAAGTGGATAAGAGGGCTGGACTTGGAGGCAGGAATACGTAAGTTCAAATCCCACATCAGACACTTAGTAGCTGTGTGACCCTGGGCAAATCATTTAATCTCTCTCAGACTCAGTTTCATACTCTAAAAATTGGAAAGAATGATAATAATAACACCTACCTCACAGAATTGTTTGAGAATACAGCACTTTGCAAAATTCAAGTGCCATGTAAATGATAGATATTATTACAGTATCATGAAGCAATGAATCATTGCTATGTGAAATATTCAGTTTGGCTTGATATTATGACTTTTAGCTTTGATGGATGGTGACAGGGTCAGCCATCAGAACAAACTGTGGCTATGTACATATATTTCCAGGGTGTCTGTCCCCAAACTGCCTCCCAACTGACTACATTCTTATGCCATAAGCAAAATGATCTTTTTTTCCTTTCAAAAAATGCAAACAATCCCATGAAAACTAATATATCAATCCTTATCAGTTACCTGATCCTCAAAGTAAAATGAGTTTGGGAAATCCTTTATTTTTCCCTTTAAAAATCATTAATATTGGGGCAGCTAGGTGGCACAGTGGATAAAGCACCAGCCCTGGATTCAGGATGACGTGAGTTCAAATCTGGCCTCAGACACATAATACTAGCTGTGTGACTTAACCCCATTGCCTAGCCAAATATAAAAAAAAAACTAAAAACTAAAAATATTAATATTATTTGTTTTATTTCTTTTTCAATTAGCAAGCATTTATTTTCACTCTTTCCCACTCTCTCAACTGAAAAAAAAGAAAAAAATTAACCTTTGTAACACATACGCATAGTCTAGCATAATAAATTCCCACATTGACCATGTCTAAAATGTGCATCTCATTCTGCCAGTTTTGTCCATTGCCTCTACGTCAGGAGCAGCTTTTATCTAGTCTGGGAAGAGTATGGACCTCAGAGAGTAAAGGAAGTATGAATATGGTCTGCACAACCTTAGGGTGTTAGAGACAGCCAAAGACAAAAGCCACGTCTGTCCTTGTGTTTTTTGGCTGGTTCTGGCTGGTGGTATTGACTCCAATAAGCAAGCACCGTTTTATTCTGATAATCCTTCTTTTTTTGCTAGTCCTGCTTTGATGCTTGGGAAGCCAGAAACTCCTTTTGAATTTTCCTCTTATATGTCTCAGCTGTATTCACCAGGGCTAGTTGTCAATATGCTTTCAGCTGTGACCCAGCTGTGTTCTCCCTGCATATATCCTCAGAGGGTATCAGCATCATGACTCAACAGTACCCAAGGATTTGGAAGGCAGAATGAGAGGAAAAAAAATCTGACAAATATGCTTCCGTTGAATTACCCTTATCAGTCCCCAGCCCCTGGCTTAGTGTGTCTCAGTTTTTCAGTCAGTTC